CCCTTCGAGCAGAGGGTGGGGCCCACTAAGGGAACAAGAGCTTACTATTGTATAAACAGAGGGTGGGGCCCACTAAGGGAACGAGAGCTAATTATTGTATAAACAGAGAGTGGGGCCCACTAAGGGAACGAGAGCTTACTATTGTATAAACAGAAAGTGGGGCCCATTAAGGGAACGAGAGCTAACTATTGTATAAACAGAGTGTGACCCCTCTCCACCCTTAGAGCAGAAGGTGGGGCCCACTAAGGGAACGAGAGCTAACTATTGTATAAACAGAGTGTGTCCCCTCTCCACCCTTCGAGCAGAAGGTGGGGCCCACTAAGGGAACGAGAGCTAACTTTTGTATAAACAGAGGGTGGGGCCCACTAAGGGAACGAGAGCTAACTATCTAAAATCCTTCTCCTTATCAGTGGAAGGATTTAAGCGAAATTTAGTCTAGGGCACCCTTTGGAAAGTGGGACCCAATTTTGGTTTGTTGGTCATAACTTTGAAACAGTGGAGATCAACACCCGTAACTATATACATTGTTTACAATTGATGGGCATAGAGGGATAAACACAGTCATGATATTAGAATTGACTCCGGAGTCTTGATCTACCCCTAGGGACTTAGTTCTTGGGTCATAACTTTGAAATGGTTGATATCCCCCATCCTGTAACCATGTATACGCAATAGATGGGCATACAGAGATTAAACAGTCATGCTATTAGAATTGACCCTGGGGTCTTGCCCCACCGCTGAGGATTTCGTTACTAGGCCATAATTTAGAAACGGTTGAGATTCCCAATCTCATAGCCATATATACTATTGCTGAGAATACAGATCCAGGTAATTGATAAGGTCCTCTGGACCTCATTTCTTAAAGCAATGTCATAAAATTTCTACCCTGAACTTGTTAAACAGAAGGAGATTGACAGTCAAAGCTCAAGTTTAGTAGCAAAATAAAATTGCACCAATGTGGAAAATAGTTTCTTTTTTTCATGTTGTATTGGACAATTTCCAACATTCAATCTATCTTTTCTAGAAAGAATAAAACAAACCTCATACCAGTTTTTTGCAAGTGTTTATTATAATGTGAACAATGATGAATACATATAATGGCATGTTTATACATGAAGCATGATTATGAAAATAATGGCACATTTTATATTGGTGTAATTGGTTAAGGCCTAGGATGTTAGTCTAGACTGGCTACCAGCCCCCAAGTTTTTATGAAGAATTTCTCAACTGCATTTTACTACTAGCTTATCTTCCCCTAGTTCAGAACTTAGAATCAGACATCCAAGTGAACAAAATTATTAGAGTTATTTTTTTCTAAATAATTGAATACCTATAATATAATATTTTAGAGACGGGGACCAGTCTAGTTACAGTCCTACCAGCTGTTTCCTGCCGTAAAAACCCTCTAAATCAAGCTGATAGATCTCTACCGGCTAATACCAAGCTGATAGATCTCTACCGGCTAATACCAAACTGATAGATCTCTACCGGCTAATACCAAGCTGATAGATTTCTACCGGCTAATACCAAGCTGATAGATCTCTACCGGCTAATACCAAACTGATAGATCTCTACTGGCAAATACCAAACTGATAGATCTCTACCGGCTGATACCAAACTGATAGATATCTACTGGCTAATACCAAACTGATAGATCTCTACCGGCTAATACCAAACTGATAGATATCTACCGGCTAATACCAAGCTGATAGATCTCTACCGGCTAATACCAAACCGATGACAGTTGTGACAATTAGGCATACCATACGGAACTGTTATACTGTAAACATACAAATTTTAGTAGAAGTCTTATCTCAGCACTTCCTTCCTGCTCAATTGAATATTTTGTGGGTGCGCCAATTCATCAATGGCTCGTGTGTTAAAATTTGATAATGCCCTTTAATTTTACAGTGCTAAAATAAGTATTTTTACAGTTAATAATTCATCAACAAATCATGTTCTCAATAAAAAAATATTTAAGAAGATAGGAATTAGGAAAATGGCTTTCTTTTTAAAAATGATTCTTAAAAATCCTGAAAATATCAGGACAAAACTTGTATCGGGACAAACTATGAGTAACTCAGTACAACCCATAATTACGATGTTGAAAATTGTACTGATACTTGAATGTGGAAGTTAAAAAATTCCATACATTCAAAACAAATCTGAATAATCTGGAACAACCAGACCTCCAAGTTCAACTTAAGAAAACTTGTATGACTTTGTAATCTGAAATATCATCTGATCTGAAAATTGATTCTAATACTGTTTCATTTAGATGAGATTCGCTGCTTTTCAATTAAGAAAGTGATAATGGTTACAATGAATGTACAGTATAATGATTGGGGTTGGACTTGATGGCTGGGTAATCAAAGTGTATTTGCTTTGAGGAACATTTCGTATTCAGAGGTCAGAATATATCCATAAATACACCATCTATATATTGTATATGTTATAATACTTAATGGTGAGACTGTCAACTGATGCTGCCACTTGAGGACCTCTTTTGTTTGTTATCTAACTGAAATCATAGCTTAGATACATTAGTATGTTGTCATCTAACTGAAATCTTATCTTAGATATATTAGTATGTTGTCATCTAACTGAAATCATAGCTTAGATATATTAGTATGTTGTTATCTAACTGAAATCATAGCTTAGATACATAAGTATGTTGTCATCTAACTGAAATCTTATCTTAGATATATTAGTATGTTGTCATCTAACTGAAATCAGAGCTTAGATACATTAGTATGCTGTCATCTAACTGAAATCATAGCTTAGATACATAAGTATGTTGTCATCTAACTGAAATCTTATCTTAGATACATTAGTATGTTGTCATCTAACTGCAATCATAGCTTAGATATATAAGTATGTTGTCATCTAACTGAAATCTTATCTTAGATACATTAGTATGTTGTCATCTAACTGAAATCTTAGCTTAGATATATTAGTATGTTGTCATCTAACTGAAATCATTACTTAGATACATTAGTATGTTGTCATCTAACTGCAATCATAGCTTAGATATATAAGTATGTTGTCATCTAACTGAAATCTTATCTTAGATATATTAGTATGTTGTCATCTAACTGAAATCAGAGCTTAGATACATTAGTATGCTGTCATCTAACTGAAATCATAGCTTAGATATATTAGTATGTTGTTATCTAACTGAAATCATAACTTAGATACATGAGTATGTTGTCATCTAACTGAAATCATAACTTAGATATATTAGTATGTTGTTATCTAACTGAAAGCATAGCTTAGATACATTAGTATGTTGTCATTTAACTGAAATCATAGCTTAGATACATTAGCATGCTGTCCTCTAACTGAAATCTTATCTTAGATACATTATTATGTTGTCATCTAACTGAAATCATAGCTTAGATATATTAGTATGTTGTTATCTAACTGAAATCTTATCTTAGATACATTATTATGTTGTCATCTAACTGAAATCATAGCTTAGATATATTAGTATGTTGTTATCTAACTGAAATCATAGCTTAGACACATTAGTATGTTGTCATCTAACTGAAATCAGAGCTTAGATACATTAGTATGCTGTCATCTAACTGAAATCTTATCTTAGAGACATTAGTATGTTGTCATCTAACTGAAATCATTACTTAGATACATTAGTATGTTGTCATCTAACTGAAATCAGAGCTTAGATACATTAGTATGCTGTCATCTAACTGAAATCATAGCTTAGATATATTAGTATGTTGTTATCTAACTGAAAGCATAGCTTAGATACATTAGTATGTTGTCATTTAACTGAAATCATAGCTTAGATACATTAGCATGCTGTCCTCTAACTGAAATCTTATCTTAGATACATTAGTATGTTGTCATCTAACTGAAATCATAGCTTAGATACATTAGTATGCTGTCATCTAACTGAAATCATAGCTTAGATACATTAGTATGACAGACTTACCAGTCCTTAACACCACCCACTTAAAGATGAGCGTCAAGCAGAGCAGTAAGTACCAATTTTAATGACTGGTTTGTCACAGTCAGGAGACGGGACCCGTAACCTTCCTCTCTCTGGTGATGATGAGTAACAGGTGAGTGTCCAACACCAATACCAAAAGTCAGGTTCTCTTTTATAGTGTCCATCTGTTTAATTCTTTCTAATGACACATAAATAACTGGGAGTTTTTTACAACTACCACTTGGATCTAAAATCTCATTGGTTCATGAACATCTCATGTCCATGCAACAAGTTTTGTATCCAGTCAATTAACAACGTCTAGATATGAATTAATCAATGATTGCAACATCATAGAAAACAAGAGGCCCAGGGGCCTTAGCGGTCACCTGAGTTATAGTTACTGGTAGCTCAATTTCACTGTTGACATGGATGTGATGTGGAAATCAACAGGTGAATTATGTGAAGTCAAAGGATAAGAATTTTAAAATGTTTGTAAAATTTCCCTTTTGTGGCCCTGGGGTTACACCAGGAATCCCAATTTTACAATGTAATACCCTCACCCACTAAAGATGATTCTGACCAATGAGTCTGCTGAAAATGGATAAAATATACCTGTAATTGATATTTCCCTATATAAACTATAGTCAAATTTACCCCATCCCCAAGAGAGAATGGATGGTCTGGGGGTACTGTAATTTACAATTTGAATAAAGTCCCTAATGCTATTTCTATCCATGCACAGAAATTGACTGTAGTATCTATGAGTCTTGAAAAGAAGATTTTTGAAATATTGGTTAATTTTCCCTTTGGGGCCCTGCCCTGGCCCTTTGGGTTTGGGTAGGAATCCTAATTTTACAATTTGACACCATTATCCTTCAAGGATGATTCTCACCAAGTAAGAATAATTTCCTACAGAAAATTGTTGAAATATACCCAAAAGTGTTATTTCCCTATTTAAACTATAGTAAACGTTACCCCCTCCCCAAGGAAGAACAGATAGCCCGGGGGTCCTGAAATTTACAATTTAAATAAAGCCCCTGATGATCTTTCAATCAATGCAGAGAAATTGACTGTGGTACCTCTGAGTCTGGAGGAGAAGATTTTTGAAATATTTATTAATTTTCCCTTATGGGCCCCGGGTGCCTAGGGTTGGGGTAGGAATCCCAATATTACAATTTTGTACCCTCATCTACTAAGGATGATTCTCACCAAGTTTGAAACAAATTTCATTCATTGGTTCTTGAGAAGAAGTCGAAAATGCAAAAAGTTTACGCACGACGGACGACGATGGATGGAGAGCGATCAGAATAGCTTTGCTCAGGTGACCTAAAAACATACAAGAATTGTAGTAGGAGATTGCTGGACAAACAAAAGTTTACGTCAAATTTGACGTTCCTATAAAAACAATCACACAAGAATTGTACCTGACCCACCTCAGCCAGCCTTGAACATTTTTCAAAACAAACAATTGAACCTATCATGAGTGGGGTTGTAAATGGGCGTATTACAACGTAATTTGTGATACAGATATTAGTGGTCACTCTAACATCTGGTAACTTTTATATATGTATGTACATGGAGCTGACAGGTTGAGATTCCCTATCTCACCCCCAAAGAGGTGAAATACTATATTAATCCAAGTATACATCTTTCACTTTCCTTCAACTTTATTCTAACTTAAAATTTTATTCCTATATTTTATCGTATATCATGACTTTCCATAAAACTTCTCACAGTAACGGCATTTAGGGTGGTACTTCTTGAACAGCTGCAGGATTTGGTATTGTGGGTGAATCTTGGTATAGAAATATAACACTTGTCCCAACTTTACACCATGGGTCGTGAAGTAGTGCTTAATCACATAGTCAAAGTAGGCACTCCCTGGAGCTGGATTTCGTAAGGTTATCCTGTAAAAAATAAAAAAAGGTTTACAACTTAAAAGTAATGTGTTGTAGGGCTGTTATTATGTGGCAGCTGGTTGAATTATTCTGTGTTATTGTATAAATCTTTAAAAAGAAAGTGGCATGTGAATCGTTAAGGTTTATTCCTGTAATGTGATGGTGTGTGAATCCTCAAGGTTTATTCCTGTAATGTGATGGTGTATTCCTGTAATGTGATGGTGTGTGCTTCCTTAATGTTTGTGAACATGTGACCTGTTCATGTATTGACATGTGGGGATTTTGATTGGACAAGCCTAACCTAAAATTCTTCTTTTGTACCTCACTCTGACCTCTATTCACCTAGCTATTCACTTTCACACCTGGCACTCTCAGGTGTTATTCCGTTTATCATTGGGTTTGTGAGTATTGTGTGGAAGTATGTTCATTTTCTTAAATATCACATTTTGTATGTTTGCAAACACGTGTTGTGTTTATGTAAGTTTTTAATTATAATCATTATTTTTCTTGATGGCCGAGCATTCGTCTGTTTTACTTTGACCGGGACAGTGAAAAGTTGAGGCATGAGCATTGTAATAAGTGTGCCTTATAATGTCTATACATGCAACTGTAAGGTGTTTAATATTGCCATATCTATTGTACAGGTAACAGTAGTTTCTATCTTGTGTAGACGACCATGATATTACACCCTTCACATATATTTTCATCGATTATTGTATCAACAACTATATTGTTAAGGTTAAATGATCCTTTATAAGACCAGCGGTCACTATAGCCTTAATTTGGATCAATATTTTTCCCTCTCCTGTGGAAGACAATATGGTAATTGATATTATAATTTTGGAATATGGACCTCGCTACACTTGCTCAATTAATGCTGATACAGAATTGCCTGCGTAACAGGGGACCTGGGATGAGCGGTACGGCAGGGGAATTGGCGCGGCGCTGAGCACGCCGGGGAATGCCAGGAGCGCCAGGCAAGTGATGCCTGCATAGTTGCCGACCTAGTGGTTCCCGGTAATTCCGTAATGAGGGCAGTGGCAGCCGCACGTACCAAAGGTGTGGAAGCCTTTGTTATAATTAAGTGTAAATATCTACTTCTACCTCACCACATAAAGGTTAATATTTCATTCACGGAAATAAACCTGATTGAACTGTTTGTGTCATTGCTGGTCATATGTTGGTTACGTTCATATGGCAAGAACCAGGAAAACGTTACATATTGATACTGATATTACGTAAGAATATCAGATATATCTTTGAAAAAGAAAATAGAAATTTTAACACTGTTTATCTACACTGTAGCGGGGGGGGGGGGGGGGGTTTTTCTTGTTGTATGTAGTCTATATGTGTTCTATGTGTCAGACAGGGGTCATGTAGCGTAGTTAGTTACGGTACTACATGGAGGCCAGGGTGAACTGGAGTCACCCGACCTCTGTCTGTTATGGTGTCCTGTCCACGTGTACCAGTCCAGTGCTAAGTGTTGTCAGTTTACCTGTCTGTGATTTCATGCTTTTCTTTCTGTGCCTGTGTCTGCGACAGCACTATGTTTCATTGGTCGAGAGTTTTGTATTGTGAATGTTGCTATATAGGGGGGTGTTACTTTCGGTTTTAGCGCCAAGTGAAGGATTGGTTTCCTGCTACGACTGCCATAGACTTCTGTAGGGGATAGTAGGTACGGTAATGTTAGAATAGCGGATTAAAGATAGTTCATGTATAGATAGATAAGGTTGGGAATGTCGGGTGGATGTTAGCCTAGTAGCCTAGTACTATGTAGGGTTGGGGGGTCGTCTCAGCAACTTGTTAGGGGTTTTACGTGTTCTCATCTAGGCCTGTATTGTTCATGTTTCATTGCTTCATGTATCTCCGTTAATAAATACTGTTATTGTATCACATCCCGGTGTTTAGTTATTACCTTCACCAGCAGAAACAAGCTACCCAATTCGAACCTGGGTTGTGAGGAAAAGGTAGCGAGCCGGGGGTAGTTTGTTCATAATAAACTGGGCCTGTCTCGCTCCTGCTACATACACAATATATCCAAGTATCATGCTTTAGACCTTATGGTTCTTTAGAAAATGTTGCTTGAATTTTTTAACATAATTAAAGTCTGCGACCTCAAAAGTATATATATATGGAAACATTATAGCTAAATATCAGGAGTCAATTTTCAAGAAGAAACTCATGAAATAGAAAAATTAATGGATGGATGATAAATACTGGAAATCATCAAACTACATCTGACAGGTATTTTGTGCCAGGTGAGCTGGGAGATCAGCATTAACTTAACCTAATGTACAGAGACATGACCTCTTAGTTTTGACTAATAAACAAGGCATAGTACCAAACATGAACTAAAGCCCATTAAAGTGGGATACAAGGCCCATTAAAGTGGGTTACAAGGCCATTAAAGTGGGATACAAGGCCATTAAAGTGGGACACAAGGCCTGCTTTCAGTTTGTACGACACTCTGCCATCACATGATGTACACACATTCAATATTTGTCAATTGTAAGTGACAGATCAAGGACTAACAAGCAAATTCGTGGAATTTATATCCCCCGCCCTCAGGACATATTGTAGGTAAACATTATTGAGGTTAGGTTTAAACATGTGAGTATCGTGCTGTTGAGACATAATGTATAGCTTGAAACTTGAAAAAAAAAAAGCCTTATCTAATATTTGCTCGAGTTAGTAAGTGGAAACTGCAGATAATGACTCATTAATTTAATGACCAAATGGAGTTCAATTATAGTGGTTGTCAAACTTGGCCGAGCCCTTAATGCGTTGAACCCTATTACTGAAGACAATCGAATACTATTTGAGAGAGTTAATGAACAGAAACGGTTATCGAACTTGGCCGAGCCCTTAATGCATTTAACCCTGTGACCAAGTTTGAAGAAAATCAGTTAAAATTTGTTGTAGTTATTGCACAGAAACGAAGCGCGGCAGATAATGATGCTTTTCATTATTCAAGGGGCCATAACTCCGCCAAATGGGGTCCGCTGAAAGTGAGCCCTTAAGCTATATAACCCTGTGACCAAGTGTGAAGAAAATCAGTTAACATTTGTTGTAGTTATTGCACAGAAACGAAGTGTGACAGACAGACAGACAAACCCAAATTAATATTACCCGTTTCGGTGAAAGCGGGGGATAACAAAGATACTACTTACGTTAATCCTTTTAGAGTTTCAACCAAATCTGTTATCCTGCCCAACAAAATCCTCATGGAGACACCAAACCAGTTCCTTTCTTCGTCAGTACAGCTCACCAAAATTTTATCTAACCTGGTGAAGAATTCTAGTGCATTCCTTTCATTTTGAAAATCACAAAATGTCACACAATCACCATCATCTGTAAAAAAACAACATTTGGCTGATATAAGAAGCAGGCTTTTGTAATTGTGTTTTGTTTGTTATCTTAGTCACTAATAATGCCAGGGATGTTTTTGTTGTCCTACAGTTATGGGATCACACAACATTACAGGATGTGTGGAGTGTGCACAATGAAAACCTTGTGTGATAATTATCAGGTCCCCAAATGAGTATTGACGTTTTGTGTAACCATTTTAAAGGGCTTGCCGCAGAGGCTGGCGATGAGACTGGTTTGGATGATACTTTTAATCATGATGCAGATGAAAATTCTGTGCCGTTATATGAAGAATTAGACAGTCCTATAGTTATTGATGATATTAAAAGCTATTCAGAATTTGAATCGTGGCAAATCAAATGGAATCGATGGAATTTTAAACGAATGTTTTTTAGTCGGTCAAGATTTATTGTTGCCTGCCTTGTGTATACTATTTAATGATATTTTGAACTCCGGGTGCTTCCCTTCGGAGTGGTCCATGGCCATCATAACAACAGTCTATAAACAAGAGGCCCAATGGGCCTGCATCGCTCACCTGGTATTAATCTCACACTTGTAATCTTAAAAGTGGACTAAAATACAGCTACAGGCAGAATATCAGTGATTGATTGATAAGAACCTGTTAAAAGATTTAAACATATATCCTTGAATGTCGAACAAGGACATTAGGTTGAACAGAGTTTAAAGTCTTCCAACCCAGCATGCTTCTGGCAAAATATCATTACCCTGACCCTTTTGGTTATACAGAACAAATCATATAAAGATTTAAACATATATTGACCACTGTGACCTTGAATATGGGCGAAGGTCATTCACTTGGTAGTCCTTCATCCCAGCATGTTAATGGCCAAATATCGTCACCCTTGGCCTTTTACTTATTAAGAAGAAGTCATTCAATGGTTTTAAACATATTTGACCCCTGTGACCTTAAAATATATATGTCAAGGTCATTCATTTGAACTTGGTAGTCCTTCATCTCAGCATGTTACTGGCATTATCCTAGTCCTCTTGGTTATTCAGAAGAAGTTGTTTAAAGGTTAAGAATATATTTGACCCTGTGACCTTGAAAAAAGATGACGGTCATTCATTTGAACAAACTTTATAGCCCTTCATCCCAGCATGCTACTAGCCAAATATCATCACCCTAGGCCTATCGGTTATTCAGAAGAAGTTGTTTAAATGTTTAAAACATATTTGCCCTCTGTGACCTTGAGTATAAGTCAAGGTCATTTATTTGAACAAACTTGGTAGCCCTTCATCCCAGCATGTTACTGGCTAACTATCATCAACCTAGGCCTCTTGGTTATTCAGAAGAAATTGTTTAAATGTTTTTAACATATTTGACCCCTGTGACCTTGAATATAAGTCTAGGTCATTTATTTGAAAAATCCTGGCAGCCCTTCATCCAAGCATGTTACTGGCCAAATATCATCACCCTAGGCCTCTCTGTTATTCAGAAGAAGTTGTTTAAAAGATTTGACCATATTTGACCCCTGCTTCTGGCCAAATATCATCACCCTAGGCCTTTTGGTTACTGAGAAGAAGTTGTTTAAAGTAAAAAGTTGATGCCAGACGGACGACAGACGCCGGACGGACGATGGACGCCGCACCATGTCATAAGCTCACTTGGCCCTTCGGGCCAGGTGAGCTAATAAGGTCTAAAAACTGATCCTAATAATTTTAGAGGTATCAGTCTATTAAGTTGTCTTGGAAAATTGTTCACGTCTATTTTAAATTCTAGGTTAATAAATTGGTCCGAATCATACGATGTTATTACAGATGCACAGTTTGGATTTCGCACTGGACTTAGTACAGTAGATGCGATTTTCGCTCTACATTCAATTATAACTAAATCTCTTAGTGAAAATAAGCGTTTGTACTGCTGCTTTATTGATTTTCGCAAAGCGTTTGACTATGTAAACAGGGTTAATTTATGGTATAAACTATCAAAGTTAGGAATCAGAGGTAAGCTTCTGCACATCATTAAATCAATATATAATCATGTAAAATTTGTGTAAAATTTAAAGGTTGTTTATCTGATTTTTTTGCCAATGATATCAGTTTATTGCAAGGCGAAATTTTGTCACCGATACTTTTTTCCATGTACTTTATCTCAAAATGTAACCAACGATACGATTTTGAAGAATTAACCCTATTCCTTTTGTTATATGCTGACGATTTAGTCTTGCTTTCGGAAACTGTTGAAGGCTTGCAGGAATTACTGGATAATCTTGCTATTTATTGCGAGCAATTGAAATTAACTGTTAATAGTGAAAAAACAAAAGTTGTGGTATTCCGTAAAGGCGGGAAAATTCGAAATAATAAAACATGGACATACCATGGAAAAAAGCTTGATTGTGTTGACCAATTTATTTACCTCGGTGTAAACTTAAGACACAATAACAAGTTCAATAACATACAGAAACAATTGTCAGATCAAGGACGTAAAGCCATGTTTGCTTTATTTTCTAAGTGTTCAAATATGAGTCAAAATTATAAAACCATGCTGGTGTTTGTTTGATACCTACATTAGTAGCATATTGTGCTACTCTTGTGAAGTGTGGGGTTCGACCAAAGGGTTGGACATTGAAAAGGTACATTTAAATTTTTGTAAGAGGTTACTTAAAGTTAGACAATCTACAAATAACGTAATGGTATACTGGGAACTTGGTCGTTTCCCTTTAGAATATACAAGAAGGTATAGAATAATTAAATATTGGTTTAAACTGCTCGACACGGAAAATTGTATTTTGAATACTGCATATGATTTTTTGTTAAAGAAAAGCACCGGTGTTTGTTTCAATTGGGTACACCATGTAAAAGAGTTGCTATGTACTCTTGGTTTCGGTGAAGTATGGCTTAGCCAATCACCATCGAATGCTAAATCCATTTTACCTTGTATACGTCAAAGAATTTTCGACCAACCACAACAACATTTGAGAGGTTTATTAGAGAATTCCTCGAAATGTTTTTTATATAAGCATATTGTAAACCATTTTTCCACCCAGTTTTATTTATCTAACTACATGCCTAAGAAATATAGAATATGTTTAACAAAACTTCGTATGTTTGCACATTCTTTGGCAATTGAAACCGGGTCGTTATAGAAATATCGAGCGGAATAGGAGATATTGTGCAATTTGTAAGTCGACTACTGAAGTAGAAGACAAATATCATTTTTTATTAATATGTAATATGTACAAGGACTTAAGAAGTCTATATATCAAAAAATACTATTGGCAAAAACCTTCAATGTTTAAATTAATACAGTTATTGTGTGTCAATAACAACAAGGAATTAAGCCGTCTCGGCAAATTTATTTTTGAAGCCAATAAGATAAGAGCTGTATTTCTTTACCTCGTACTCCACTGTTGTCTTGCTGTTTCACATCCTTATTATGTATTGTATGTAATATATACTCATGGGCTGTAAAGCCTATAGTCAATAAATTGAATTGAATTGAATTACATATAAATATAGCGTGGGCACAACTTTGCGATAGCTACAATCACACAGTTGTTGGATAGGTAGCATGGTTAACAACTTTGTGAAAGCTACAATCACACAGTTGTTGGATAGGTATCATGGTGAACAACTTTGTGATAGCTACAATCACACAGTTGTTGTATAGGCATCATGGTTAACAACTTTGTGATAGCTACAATCACACAGCTGTTGGATAGGTATCATTGTCAACAACTTTGTGATAGCTACAATCACACAGTTGTTGTAAAGGTATCATGGTCAACAACTCTGTGATAGCTACAATTACACAGTTGTTGGATAGGTATCATGGTTACCAACTTTGTGATAGCTTCAATCATACAGTTGTTGGATAGGTATCA